TGGTCAGTTGGAGTCAGCTGTCCCTGCTGTGTCCCTTCCTAGATTGAAACACTGGTGTGTTGTCAACACCGTTTGCAGCGCAAATCCAAAACATAGCACCACACAAACTACTGTGAAGAAATTTAACTCTATCCCAGCCAAAACCAGTACAAGCTCATATGACCAGAGGTCTGTTTGTGAGAAATGTTGTTTCAACATTAGTTTTGTAGGAAGAAAAATGGTTGCAATGCAAGTAAGAACAGAAGGAAACAGACTTCATAATCAAGTGCATATATTGATATGTTGTCATATATAATTTTCTTAACTTTCTTCAATGTGGTCTTTTCCATTGTTATTGAAATTTTAGAAACAGAGAAGCAACTATTCTCCTAGTTAAAAAGAGCTATTTTTCATGAAGAGGAAAACCATCAAGTCTAGCTCTAATGATATCTATGCATTTTTAACTACTCAAAGAATAGCTCAAAGTATTATTCACAGAGGGATTTTATAGCTCAGGAATGACAGCAAATTCTGAATTATGCCCTTTTGAGGCAGCTCTCATTGTACTGGGTCTATGGTCCATAATTTGAAAATAGAAATGTTTTTTCTAATGGAACTTTTTCTATCTACAGATTCTTACCATGTTAATTAATGCATCTCTTTAATTGTGTTAGATGACTCATGGATTGAAATTTGTACTTTGCTTAGTTAATGTTTTTTTTAATGTTCTAGAACCTAACAAACGAGACAATAGATGGCTGTACACACCTCCAACACCCTTGGTATATAAACTGGATTTTTTGACTTACTGATATCTAGGTGATTTAAGACACTACTACTTTCTATTCCCTCCTGGCACCCCTTCCAGGTAATGTTGCCAGGCATTTTCTGATGATTGTTTTCTTCTTCCAAATGGTTGTCCATGTTGAGTCCTACTTCTTACACATGCAAAAGATTCTTTTAGCCAGCAATGTTTATTCAGAGTCATACCAGTATTCTGTCAAATTGTATTTCTACCCAAGGAGGTAAAAAAGTCTGCCAAAGCTCAGCAGTACTTTTTAATTATAATTTTTTTTTTTTTAATTTCTAAACATGAATGGCTGCAACAGTCTTTCATTCACCCCCCTGCAGTTCTGATGGCTTCCAGCTGAGGCTCTGTGAGGCACCGTTAGTATGCCGCTCTATTTTCAGACCAGCATTCACTACAGCTTTGGAGTTAGCTGTCCTTCCGCTAAGAGGCAGTATTGGCCTATCTTTCCTAAGTCACAGATCCTACTGAAATTCGAAGCAACATGAAAACCTGGGGTAGCAATTGATCCTACCGTCAGCTCCATCCAACTCCTAGTGTTAGACAGTGACTAACACTTGTCACATTGATTAATACAGAGAGTTCCACCAACAATGAAACCCTTGACCAGGAGATGGATTAAAAGATATAGGTTAGTCACATACAGCAATGGTCACACTGCTCCTTTCACACTTGCTAGAGACATAATTTTTACCAAGTTGTTACAGCTGCACAATTGTTGGCTGTACTCAGAAGATACATGTACCAGGCTTCATGGTAATGTTGAAGTCTAGAGAAATGATGACTTATGAACTAGGGAAAAAGTATGCCTTGGATCCTAGAGTATTAGTAGCTGAGCATGTCAAAATCAAATGCCCAGGTGTGAAAAACTTACTGCGAACTGTGTTTTTAGAGAATTACAGGAATATTCTGGTCACTGCAGGCATGACCTGAATGACAAAAGAGTTGGAAATTTTTTTTCTGGTATTACAATACCATAATAAAGCACTTCTCCCACTTTGCTTAATAGATTTTTTTTTTTTTTAAGGTTTTTTTCCCTCTGAAGCAGAACGATAGGGACTGTAGCAGAAAGTATTTATTGCTCTCTAGCAGTTAGTTAGCATCAAGACTGATAGATTTGACTAGTCTTAGGTCTGCTAGGTATAAAAGAGGTATAACCTGACTGTTTTTCATGACATTATGTTGTGTAGAACAGAGAAGTGATCCAGGGATCTGTATGGTGCAAGTACCAGAACAATCTGATTATGTCATAGGACTGTCATTGATGCAGAACCTCTCCCTCACTCCACTGGAGATTCTCTTTAGCAATGAGATATGTGGAAAAGAGCATTTCACTTCTTGTTGGAAAAGATGAAAGAGCATCTGGTCTGAGTTTAGGCTGACTGGTAGGTACCAAGTTATTGATACAGTTCAGTGATGTATACACAAAATTAAGTGGTCTCCTGACAGTGGAAATGCCTGAAGTCCACCCTGTCTGTAGAAAATGTGCATGTGTATGAAGCTGTCTGTCAGCATTTGGACTGTGGGAATGACTATTTTCAACAGCAGGCAGATGGCTCTGATCCCTTGCAGAGATCACATGCCCGGAGCTCTCAGACGTTCTTACATGAGCTCTCCATCTTTGAATAGAAGCATCTGTCATCACAGATTTGTTTGGCCAAGATAAGATGGGTATGCTGTTGCAGTTCTGAAGCAGGTCTTTCTACCAGTTTGAGGGAAAGACTTACTTTGAGAATGACTTCTGTGTGTCCGAGGTGTCTGCTTGGTGGAATTCTTGCTTAGAGCATAGATAAAGTCTGTCAAAGAATAGATAAGAAGGCACCTTCCTACTTAAGATGGTTCAGAAAGCTCAGTGTAGTCTGGAGTCATTCTTGTGCAGGCAGACTGTCCTTGGACTAAACATTTTCAGTTGAAATAAAGGGCAAGAGGTTTTTTTTCCTGTTGTTGTTTCTTTGGTTGGTTGGTTGGCTTTGAGGCTTTAGTGGTTTGGTTGAGCTAGGGCAGGGTAGCTGGGCAGAAGGTAATACCTTTCTACATCACAGCAAGATGCTGTTGAAAGGCACTTTGGGAGCTCTTAGGCTAAACAAAAGACAATCTGAAAGTTTTTTAAGAAATGGAAGATGAGATTGGAGTGTTCAGAAATCAGAGCCATACAAAGATAAATCCTTTTTCACCTATTTCAAGATCTTCTTAATGACTATGGCTAGAGGAGGAATTGCACATTGTTACATAGGTAGCTGTTTTGATACAGTGATGCAAGATAAAACAAAATGTATTCTAGGATGTAAATATAGTACTAACTGGCTCAGTGTTCCTTTAGGTATTGTAATTGTGTCCTTTGTCCTTAAATACTCCCTTTTTACTAGGAGAACCTCCATTTACTGATAAGGGGAAGTCAGATCTTCGTATTTCTAGCATGATACTCCATAAAGATAATTCTTAGGACTCATCAGAGTATCAACTCCAGTTTTGAAAGTTAATTTGAAACCTTTTTTTAAAGACTGATCATGTGAAAATTACATTTATCTTACTGGGACATTTTATCTGTAAGCCATCTCAGTCTTCTGAGTTTCCCATGTTTCCATGGAGTCCTGTAGTTCTAGAAATCTGGGCCATGGAAGGAGCTGAGAGATTTTAGCCTTTACAGCACTGAACAAAGGTATTGGAAGTAAGAAGCTTTTCCCTGTGTTGCTTACCTATAGTAAAAAAAAAAAAAATCTACCATTTTTTTTCTTTATTAACTTGTGTGTTGTAGCAAGGATTTCAAATTGGGCCAAGAAAGTACAAGAAAGACAAAAGGGGATCCAGGAAGACGTTATTGCAGCCTTTCAATATTTAAAAGATATTATAAATTATTAAAAGAGATAATTTTTTTACCAGGGTCTGTAGCAACAGCATAAGGGCAATGGTTTTAAAGTGAGTAGATTTAGACCGAACCTAAGGAAGAAGTTTTTTTCATGAGGGTAGTGAGATGCTGGAACAGGTTGCTCAGAAAAGTTGTGGATGCCCCATCCTTGGAAGTGTTCAAGGTCAGGTTGGATGGCATTGTGGGAACCTGATCTAATGAAAGACGTCCCTTCCCATGACAGGAGTGTTGAACTGTGCAGTCTTTAAAGTCCTTTTTTCCAGTCAAAACCATTCCATGGTTCTAATTTTTGCACAGGTACAGTGCCCCGTCAAGGATTATGTTATCCACCTACCAGGCTGAATGGAAGTTTACTGTCAGCCTTCAGTCTATATGTTTTGTTTTTCCTTAAGTGCACTTGACTTTACAACTTTATTAACAATCTTCCAGCTTGGGGATTTCTATCTGCACGTGTTGAAGTGTATTTGCAAAACTATAAACTAGTTTTCATATTTTTCCTTTCCCCATTCCTACAATACTTCCATATCCTTCAGTAATTAAAATAACACTGCTTCCTAAGGAACCATGCGTATAGAGGAATGTTTGAAAGGTCTTTGGATATCTGAGTTACACATGTTGTATACAAGGAGTCAGGAAAAATTTCAGAAGAGGTCTTACAGTTGGATTGAGAACTGGTGGAGTTTTGAGACAAAACTGAGATAACCTGTTTTACTTTCTCACAGCAGTGATTATGAGAAGTCTTTACATCATATTTTCATATTCGTAGAATAGTTATGGCAATGTATTACATCTTGATTATGAGATAAGTTTCACCAATATAAAGCTGACAGATGCAACTCCATCACTTTCTGTGCTGTAACAGGCTACAGAGGAATTAGAAAAGGAGAAAGAAATGGTGTTAAATACTTGCTTTCTACTAGTTCTCCATAGTGCTGAAGTCTTGAGATGTTATATCAGCAGCATAAGTTAGAGCTGGCCCACAAATACCTTATGTTGTATTCAGGCTTCATTGATTATCTGTGGGAGAACTTTGCACCATGCTGCTCTAATTCTATTTGTGTGCAGTGCAGACTAGTCCATAAATTTTGAGTCAGAGGATCATTAGACAAACTAATTCCCTGTGTGTAGCATAAATGATAAAATTTCACCCAGAGATTTCTGCATCAAACTGTTGTAAACTCTGAACTGAAACCATTTCTTTTGATTGACTTCTGAAGTTCTTTGGCTTCTGCATTATGCTTATACATTAGCTTTCTGCTGATAGCACAAAGATTGATCCCATGCCTGGTGAGCGTGAGTAGTGGGAAATTCTTACTTCCAACTAACTACTGATTTTTTTTCCCCCAGGAGTCTCTACTATCCAAAGGGAACAATGAACTATCCAGCAGAAGAAGAGAATATGTGATTCTGAACAAAGGGTTTGGAATTGTTCCTAATGAAGTCAACCTGCCTGTACTTCAGCTGAGACTGATTACCAAAGGGTCAAGCTTTGCTCATTAAATAACATCCAGATGGAATACCAATGTGGGGCAGTTTCAAGAGACCTCATGCGGTATTTTAGGATGATACCCTTTAGCTTTGTTTACAGCATAAGCGTTTTAGAAGGAATTTTGGGAAAGATGCTTTCAGGTTTATAAATTAGGAGAAAAGCACAGTTCTCAACAGTAAATACCTCCTATTTTTAGAATATGTTTTTTTTTTTAAATTGTTGCATAGTCAGGTTTTCTGGAACGATAGTTCAGTAACCTTATTTATGTCCATTCATGTCTTCTGTGGGAAGAAAAAGAGCTTTGTAATATGAACAGGCAGAAAATATATCTAGGTTCATTCTACCAGAATTAGAGATAGATTAAACACCGTCAGTAATATTTTAATATTTAGAAGGAATTTCACTTCTTATATTTAGATAATTGCAAATTCTAATGCTAGTGTGGCTTGTTAATTGTCATTATTTGCAAATGGCATTGCTTCTGAAATGATTATTATTTTAAAGCCAGCTGGTTTTACTGCTATTTCAAAATGTCTTCATATTATATGTCTATCTTTAGCCACACATTGTATAGATCTGTGTACATACAATGTGTCATGTACATTTATATACATTTTATATACACATGTTTTAATGTTTAACAGACTTAAGTAAATTAAATACATGCTTTGCTGCTAATCAAAATTGTAGTACTTAAAAGCCCTTCCAGAATTTCAGTGTTTATTCACTGTATTAAATGTAGATAAAAATGTCTCAGTGCAGTAGCAGAGAAGCTATGTTTTTCTCTACAGTTTAGTAAGGAATACTTATTAAGGACCAAGGCTTCTCTCTACAGTTGCTACTGTGGCAATCAAAACTGTTGCAAATAACCAGAATGCACTTGGTGATATGGTTTTATTATCTCTGTTGAAAATTATTAGCTTTATAGTCATCACATGATTACTTGTAAGTAATTTGATACAGATGTATGTTGTGTACTTTTTCCTTTATTTTCCCCCCAGTGGTTTGTTTGTAACTATGAATAGCTAATTGGCATTCATTTCCTAACAATTTAAGTGTATAATTTTACGTGTAATGTGTGACTTCAACATCCTGAATTGTGAAGCAGTGAAAAAGGGCCCAGTGGACAATGTAAAAAATAATAACAATAGTAATAAAATCTACCCTCTTTTCACATGTACGTAGTGTTGGAAGTCTTCAGGAGCTGCCTTTGCATCTGTACAGTGGTACAGTACTGATAGCAGAGGTCTCTTAAGGGTCAAGACATATCATTCCTAAGGTATTACCACCAGGTAGCTAGAGTTTGCACCATGAATCGCCATAGAAGATGCATTTCCTCCAATGTTACCTCTAAAAATCAATTCCTATTTTAGTTCAGAGTGTTAGTTTTGCTTTACTAGGGTGTAGAAAGGGAATGCAGTATGGTTAAATCTGATGTATTATAAAGCAAATCCATGCTGTATATGACTACCAGTAGAATTGATTACATGGATATTTTATCCAAAAGTTCTTCATTTAAATTCAACCTTGATATGTTCTACTCAAACTGTGTATGAATTCTCATCATTTTCCACTAAAATAGCGTATAACCAATCTTCACTGAAAGTAACCTATTTTAATATATTTTTTTCAGAAATGTCATATAATTTAAATTGCCAGAGTGCATTGAATGCCTTTAAAATAATTTGGACTTTATTTCAAGTATGTTTCATTGTTTATAATTTGCCTGGCTTTGATGGCATTATTTTTGTTGAGAAATAGAGTATAATTAATTAATCTTATTGTGTTTTTCCTAATGTATTTTTAGTGCTGTTAACTTTGAAGGAAATTTTGTACTGGTTTTAGTGAGTGTGAAAAGTGGAGTACTCTCTGGTGGTCAGCTGAGGAGCAGACAAGTGGTGGATTGGTGGCATGTGCAGCTGCAACCGCCAAGGCTTTGTTTTAAAGCAGGAAATGAGTGGTCTTTTCTGTTCCTTTCCCAGTGTTCACTAGGAATTTTTTTCCCTTCCTGCTTGCAAAAGTATTGACATGCTGACTTGAAGGAAAGAGCTGGTACATTTTACATGTAGGACAATCAGTTGCTGCAGAAGGTTCCTTATCTAATCTGTTAAGTAATTTATGGCATTAGTACATAGACGCTCTCCAATGAGATCTGTGCCCATCATATTTCTGACATGGATAATTTCTGTATGGCTAAATTTTGTATAGAAAATATAGATAAAGCATCTTTAGAGAAACACAGAAACCAAAAATAAGTTGCTTAACATCATTGAGCAAGTCATCAGCAAACTGAGAATGGAACCTACATCTCCGGAGTTCCAGTCCAGTGCATAACTGGTGTCCTTCAAGGTGTGGAGCTCTTTTTCTCATGTGCTTGTCATCTTTAGTGTAACTTGTGCAAAAATCAGAGAAACAGGCATAGCTGTATTTTTTATTTACCTAATTGAAAAAGATCCTGCAAAGTGTGGTGCTAACCATGCTGAAACATTGTACTGAACTACAGCTAATTTTTGATTATTTGTTAGTCTAAACTGTGACTTATGTAGGCCTTTTCTACAGTTTACTTGGCTGTGGTCAGGTACCTGAGATTATGTAGTATTATGCCTTCTGTTATTCATGCACCCACTTTCTACAGTCATCTGATTACAAGCACTTTCTCAGGAGAATGTACTGTGTGCATATTCTGTAGCCTGATTTACATATGTTGTGCTCCATCTGAATCATTTCATAACCCTGAATAATCAAATATTGACATTGGATCAAATCATTAGTTTTTTTCTATAAGGTAATTCTTGTTTACAGTCACAGAATAATGTATTTAAAGACTGCTTAAAGTCCTTGTAACTTGAAGGATTGCTGCCCGGTAATTGGTATTTCATATCAAGAAATTTGACAACCAGTTATGGAACTTACGGAATTATGTTAGTTAAAGAAGAAAGGCCAACAAATTTGGTTATTAAAAACAAGAAAAATTCTAGGAGTGACTTCCCCAAACTGAATAATATGCACAATTTTTGCATGTATCAATTCTGCCCTGATTTTAGGAGGAACCAGCAATTCTGAATGACTGCATTTCAGGAGATGTGAAAAGAGGAAGCCACTTGAGAATATCTGGTTTTGACTCTATGAATTCACCATGCACTTGAATTAAAAAACTTCTCAACTGAAGGTTTCATCATTCAATTTGTCTAGACAGAGAACAGCAATTGGAAATAAAGCTCTTCTAATTAATTTTGTTTCTTGACTTGCAGGAGGCTAAATCACATGAATACTCTGTGTTCAACTGTTCTCAACAGGAGATGCTGAGAACTGTAATGAGAAAACTAGTAATTTTAAAATATTTTACATTTGAGTTCTCAAATTTCCTACTGAGCTAAAAACTTACATCTGGTAAGATTTTGCTTCCATAGTTGAACTCATTGTTCACTGTGATATTTTGACTTACGTTTCTAAATTTGTTTCTAATGATGCCAGTCAGGACATGTTCCTTGACTTAAGCTGCAACTGGACTTACTCAGTTTTGCTCAAAATTTAGGTTTACCATAGCTTCATTACTGTCTTTTGTCTGCCTCCATCTTCATTGGTGCAATGTAAGCAAATACAGATAGTGTTGAACCTTGCCTGAGCAAGGGAGTTTGAAGTCAGCTACATTCCAAATCTTGTTTACAGATGCTAAAGATGCACACATTTTCATGTATGTATACATCATATATATACGTGATTTTTCAAATTAGATAATTGAAATCTCAGCAATCTAATTCAAGAATCATTACTAGTCTTGATCTGTTGCAGGAAAAGAAAGAATAATAATGCAGTTAAATTGCTTTGCAGACATTTTCTAGCTTCTTTCCATTCTGGGATTTCATGCTCACCCTTCCGCTGCTCCTTTGTGGCTCAGTAGTTTGATTCTGGTGGAGCAGTTACCATGAGTTGTTATCAGCTGGAGTCCTATGCCAGGAGGAGTAGGATGTTCTTAATGATGGCTCATTCTTCCTCTAGGATCCATCACTTGGAATCATTTTTATACATTTGCTAAGACACTTTTACCCCTTTTCTATTTTTTCATTGGTCTGCAGCTCCATAATACATCTGTTTTATAATGCATAGTGCATTTTATGTGTACTGGGTACTGTTTTTTGTTCTCTCAGCTACCTCTAAACCTGGATTTGTCCAGGTCTGCATTTTGTTACTGTTTATGGCTGAGTTGTTTATAGCCAGCAGTGCATCTCTTACCATGCCATTCCTAATTCCTCTATACCACATCCTGTGTTTTAAGGCACAGCTATCTTCTTAAGGCCCCTGCTATCAGACCAGGCCTGTATCTCTTCATAACTATATCTTATTATACATTAAATAAATGCTTTTTACAGCTGTCTATATAAAACTACAGTTGTTCGAAGATAAACAGAAATAAACCAAATTAGAGGTATTGAACTGGTCAGTTAGAGGAATCACAACCACAGCTATTCCAATTGAAACAAAGATAAATTCAGACTGCACAGCTGACAAACCTCAGGATTGAGGCCTTGCAAATTCAGCATGAAGTTTATGGTCTGTTGTTGTCCGTGGTACTGCTGTGTACAAGATTGCAGCTTTCAGAACTTTTAAAAATGCTCTGACTCCTGTTCCTGTAGACTGTGTGCTGCTCTTAATGCCCTGGCATTAACACTGTGGCAATATTCCCATGTGTCTGAAAAGAAGGAAGATCTTATTGCTGAACTGTGGTCTCTGTGGTCTGCCTGATATGTGATCAAGGAATATTCATTTAAAGAGGAATAATTTTTCCAAGCTTGCCAAAAGTAAATAATATAAAATAAAATTATATTCAATATATGTATGTAATATAAAATAATTGAAACAGTAAATAGAGGTAAAACAATTGAAATTGTAAACAGCCATTGAAATGATGTTTATTCAATTTATTTAGAAAGGTTTTAAAAATTTGTTTTAATTAGCAGTATCTGGAATCAAAGTTTTACATTTCTTTAGCTTGATCATGACAATTAATTCTTTACCTTTTCTCAAGCAGGACGTGATACCATGGAATTATGCAAGATGATTTATGCTGGCAGAACAGTCATTTTGATGTAGTGGGTCTGACACTCTGACCTCCAGCCAGTGACACAGCATATGCCTGAGGGGTTGTGTAGCTAATATCAGTTGTGATCCTTTGTAGTCCAAATGCAGACAATGAAAATAGACTCTGTGGACAGCAGTGTGCCAAGCAGAAGCAGCACTTACCAATTTTTCATCTGTTAGCGGTGTTGGTATGAATGGTTCTCCTCTTCTCCTGTAGGAGCCACCAGGACCAAGGTAAACCCCAGAGACTTTTGTAAAGCTCTACAATGCAGTCTGATAATCTTAAATTATGTTGTGCTGGATGGGTCATTTCTGCAATTAGGTTTAAATTCCAGAGAGTAGGCATTAAATAAATGAGTGAGGTGTAGCACTCTGCAGACAGCTATTTTTAACAATGTCTTCAGTGAGGCCTTAATTAAGGTTGACCTATTTGTCATCTTCTCTTCTTTGAGACAGACATTTACTATACTCCTTTACGTACAGTTTGAATACTGTCTCTGGGTAAGAGAGCCTGGCACTCAGTTAGAGCTTTGCCTTGAGTGACCTGCCCACTTTCAGAAAGATTAAATGATGATGAAATAACACAGATTTTTTAAATTGAAAAATAATTATAGAATGGATGGAAATAGATGTTCCTTGCATGAAGGAGTAATGGACAATGACAAATACCATGTTCCTGAACCAGTTCATCAACAGCAAACTAACTTCTCATAGCCTTGATCTCAGTCAGAAGTGCTGAGAGAGAGGCTGGTGGAAATCAGTGGGTACAAACCTTTTTTTACCAATAGGAAATTCACTTTGTGTTCAGATTGCACTAGGTGAAAGTGAGTGTACTTGACAGAGCAGAATTTTGGGACAATTGTTGAAAAAATCCAGTTGTGCGAAGCATGACAATAATAATTGAGCACTGTTCTGCTGAAATCACTATCCATTGTGGAGTATTTGAATATCTGATTAGGCTACTTCCCTTCATTTGAGACATGAGACTGCCCATGCTCACAAAATAAGTATTACGAGTATTTCTAAGAAATGAGTCTCCACACTGATGCATTTTCTGAACCCCATGACCTTTGCATTGGTGTGTCTAGCACTGAGGTCACA